ATTACAAACATCTAATTTGAACCAGTGCTGAATTCAACATACAACATGACACACAAAAATCAATGTTTAACTGTATTTTTTTAATATTTACTTTTAAACTAAGAAATTTAATAAAGTATAGTACTAAAATTTGGATTATAATTTACTGTTTGATAAACTTATTGACATAAATTCATGAAATAATAGTTCAATAAAATTTTGAATGCCATGAAATGGCCTTTCACCCATGACCCATCTGAAAAGGGTTAATAGATAAACTAGTGAGGTACATCTGGCAAATAAGAGATGGCATGGTGATCATAAGCACAAACTTATCTGTTGAACACCAACAGAGATAGGACAAGTTACTATCATCCACGTGGTTCTCCATGAAATCTCATTAAACCAACCAATGAGTTTTGTATGTTTAGAGTAAGAGTCTATAATAAGGAATGATAAAGACTACATCCAAATGTTTTTTACATTGTCCAAGGGCATCACACTAGAGGATATTTAAAGAACATCCATAAAGCTGAAACAACCTACTGTACAGCATCTTAAAAAATTAACATTTTCCAATAATTAGAACCTATTAACAGTGTTTACAGACAACATGATGAACAAGGTTTTAGTTGAACTGAATTAGATATAGCATTTGGTTTAAAAATTGGACTTTTAACCTTTGAACTATCCATTCAGTATGTAGAAGAGTTTAAAGATCATATCAAACCTGCTGATGGTATTAGAAGGTTAGGCATTGCTGGACCAGATGGTGGAGGAAGTAAATCTGGCGTTGGCACAGGTTTGTTTGTTTCTCTGGGGTTCAGGATGTCAACGTAATTTTGTCTCATTCCTGTACAAAAAATATTATATAGTATTTTAACTGGATATTGTGACTTTTCATTTCCAACACAAATAGAAAAAAAAATTAATGTTCTTATGCATTTCACAAGACTTGTGTACAAAATATTTTACTGAAAACTTTTTTACATTAATCAGCATTTATTAAAACAGAACAGAAAGCATATTATAGTTGAGCTGAAATAAAGTATAGGTACATAGAGAGCTATGTATGAAGTAAAAGCAGAGATATAAACAAATACAGAAAACAAAGACAGGAAACACATTCCATAAAACAAACCTTTTCCCTTTGGTCTTTGAAATCTATTGATACCAGACTGTGGGCCACTAGGTGGAACTTTGGGTTTTTCAGGAACTTTATCTAAGGTCACAAAAAAGAATAATACATAAAATGCAATGTACTAATTATTACCAATTGCTAGAGAACTGTAAGATGTTAAAACAAATTTTCCAGTCTGAAAATTTCTCAATAATAAATGACAGAAAATAGTCTCCTATTTAAAATAAGAAAGAAAAAAAACAACATCATATCAAGCAAACATCTTCAGGTTTCCATGACTTACTCAAAAGTTCAGAGTCCGTGGGAGGTGCTGCCATCTGACTTGATGAAGAGGCATCATCATCCCCATCAGTATCAACCCAACACTTCTTCTTTTCATCCCAGATAATCTGTGTTAATAATAATAATAACGTGCTTAATGATGAATTTTGATGACAGAAACTACAATATGTATTAGTCTACTGCTAGCAATATATCTAATACTGTTTGATGTAACACAATGCTTCAGATATTCTCTGAATTAATATAGTTTATGTTTTGTACTACCGTAAATAAAAATTGTTAAAACAAAATGAAAAACAGGCTAAAATAAGCAGCAAACAGCCTGTGATAAAACTGGTATTTCTTATGAAGTTCTGAGAGGAACTGTTGTGCTGAATCTCAAAACAACAGAGTATATGAAAGAAATGCCACAGTTAACAATTTCTGTTACCTGTTTTCAGGTCAGAGAGTTGTGTGGATCATCTCTGTTAGTCAGAGTTGTGTGGATAATCTCTGTTAGTCAGAGTTATGTGGATAATCTTTGTTAGTCAGAGTTATGTGGATAATCTTTAATGGTCAGAGAGATGTGTGAATCATCTATTAGTCAGAGATGTGTGAATCATCTCTATTAGTCAGAGTTGTGTGAATCATCTCTATTAGTCAGAGTTGTGTGAATCATCTCTATAATACAAATAGATTGGAGTCCTGGCAGCAAGACATACTAAAGACCTTACATTACTAAGATGGTCCACTCCCTAACTCTACAAGTACAATGAAATTTGAACCATGTCATCTGGTAGCTTATTTGGTAACATTTTCTGAGCTATTTAACCGCACCCTTTATCAATTCAAATAATTGTCCACATTTAAACAATTCACTGTGGCCTCTATGTTTTTCTGTTCACAGCGTCAACTCAGAGTTAATGCTCTCTAGTAAATCCATAAAATAATCTCGATTTTCCCCAGCTTCAGTTGTGCTTGCTGCCACAGCAACAAGTTGTTGTTGTACAGGCCTCTCTAACGTCTTGAAGGTGGAAATAATTGACTTACAGTAACATACAGCAGAATGTTGATGGACAACATTACCATAAAAATTTAAGAACCAAAACCTCACACAGGAACTTTAAAAGCAAGAATCCATATGTGTACCAACCATAGTAAACAGAAAAACATTTAGAGGCCATATATGTACCAGCTACAGTGAATGGATTAATGGTAAATGCTTTAACAAGTCTGACAGTCATAATATGATTCCCTAAGATATCATGACAATTGAACAAATACAGGAAAAGGTGTTATATTTAGGAGTTTGAAACTGTTTGCAGTAAATACATATGAAGAAGCACATCAAGTATCATTTCAGAAGTATATAAAATAGGCATACTTATTAGCATGTTTGTCATTCATAAAATACAATATTGAAACTCATTAATACAAACAAGTAATTCAACAGAGAAAGTGTTTATACACAGAATTAGCTGCATAATAAAGAAACTAATATGATAAAATGCTCACAATTACAGTGTATAATACACTTTAAATGCTTGCATCTAGACATCTTACAGTTCCGTTTCTTACAAGGACAGCTTTCAGAATTAGAAAAACAATATTATCTAGATTGATACAAATCAACCTTTATGTAGAGATTGGTAGTTTTTACACTCCTAATGAGCATGAAACATGAGCAATGCTAGGACACCAATTATAGAAACAGAGAAGACTACTGTAAAAGTTACATTTTCTGTATCCATTATACAGTGCATGGGAATATTTAAGAGACATAACAAGTATCAGAAAGAAGCAAATAAATCTTCATGATTTGAAATGAGGAAAACTTATTGCAGTCAATAATTAGTGTAATCATCAAACACATAAATCAACACTGATATTACTCACTTTCTTAGCTTTTGTTCACAAAATAGTGAGCATATTATATTCAGTGGTTTTTGTACAGCAGTCTACTTGAGCAGCAGCCAGCAACAATAGCACTGCAGCTTTCTATCAAACCTATCACTTGAGTGCTGCAATTAACCTAATTACATTTTTTGTTACAACTTAGTAAAATAATATCTTTGGTCATATATGTAACATAATATAGCAATTGTGTGGTTGTTAAAAAGTGGTTACAGGTGGAAGATCATGTCTTTGTTGATTCAGGTCTTTTGGTACAGGTGTAAAAGGCTTCTTTGATGTTTGTAGATGTTCCACAATTTGTAGCCATCCCAGCAGACCAAATAACCTGCTTCAGAGACCAGGTTTTGTCTCCAAAATGCCTTCCCACATTTTTTTCCTTTGTATCATAGTCACCAATCTATTGTCAACTCCTGCATTAGTCTGGGATTCAATTACTAGCTTGTTTTTAAATTAATGAATAAGTAATGGTACTCTAACATAGGCTGTTTACTGCTTACTTTAACCACACATAATGACCTCAAAATAAATCTCTAAATAATTAAGAAAAGAAGCTTTTAAGATACAATGAAAGATAATATTCTATACTATTCTATTACCAGAAATAAATTTAATTTTTCTTTTTAAACTAATACTCAAGTTTCATTATGCTTCTTTGTCTGTTGGATTTTAGTTATAGTTATACAAGGACTATCAAAGCTAGCTATTCCTAACTTTGGAAGTGATAGACATGAGGGAAGGCACCTAATCAACACCACCCACTGCCAACTCTTGGGCTACTCTTCTCAAACCAACAAGTGGGATTTGACTGTCACTCTTACAGTGCACCCAAAGCCCCATATAAAGAATATTAAAAATATGTATTATCAGAATATTGTTTTACATTGTGTGATTTATAACATTTTTTTAGGGTAAGGTACTCTGAAAAAAACACACCAAAAAACAATTACCCTATAATAAATGTTACACCAAGGCAAGTAGGGTCAGAAAAGGGTAAAAACATTTTAAAATATTTAATAAGCACATTTTTTCTAATCTAAAAGTGTGAACATTTTTATGAACTCAGAATTGTATGCAAACGCCTGTTAAAGAGGTGACTTATTTTTAAATTTTACATTGGTAATTGTTTTATTCTATTAAACATATAGGAATCAAAATATTCAAACATCATTGCATAAACAAAATACTCAGTTTTAATACCAAGAAGGTTCTTGCACGAAGCATTTCCATTAAATCATATGTTCCATGAAGCACTTCCATTAGATAATATGTTCCACGAAGCACTTCTGTTAGATCATATGTTCTACGAAGCACTTCCATCAGATCATATGTTCTACGAAGCACTTCCATCAGATCATATGTTCTACGAAGCACTTCCATCAGATCATATGTTCCATGGAGCACTTCCATCAGATCATATGTTCCATGAGCACTTCCATTAGATAATATGTTCCACGAAGCACTTCTGTTAGATCATATGTTCTACAAAGCACTTCCATTAGATCATATGTTCCATGAAGCACTTCCATCATATCATATGTTCCATGAAGAATTTCTACTAGATTAGATGTATTCAGAAACAAGGATTAACTAAATACAAAAGCAATGATGCCTAAATTAATCCAACAGTCTCAGTCTGTATATCAAATTGTAATTTAGAACATTGAGCTAATAGCCTATACCATCACTTTCAAAACTTAAAATTTATTTGAGAATGTATAACAACTGGGCAACATTTGCTTTCATTCTGTCATCTATTTCATTGATTCAAAGAATACACTGTGCTTATTTACTGAATGTTCCAATACTGTTTTAACAAAATACTTGTATGAAAACATCTCAACAGAAATCCATACCTTTGGATTCTTATCATCTGGGAGAATCATCTTCTTTGGCCCTTTAGGAATAATGATATTAAATATTCCACCAAGCCAACTTCGACCAGCCTTTTAAATAAAAGCAACAAAAATAAATATAACTTTTGTGTAAGGCATATTATTACTAATCTTATGAAAATAATTCAACAGTAAGGTAAGAACACAGTACACTTTTTATAAGCATTATATATTTGTCATATTCCAAACCTCAACACTGAATTATGGTTTACCACTTAAAACTTCACATTGCCATCATCATAAACATTTGCATCAAGACTTAGTATACCTATGTATTTAACTTGGAAATAGAAAGGACCAAATGATGTATGAAAGTAAAAACTAACTTGTGGCTTGTTTTTTTCCTCTTTCTTTTCTATCTTTTTTGTGTTTTCACTGGCATATGAACTTTGAGAAGTGCTCAAGGGCTGCTGCGGGGTTGTCTTATATAACGTGTTGGGGTTGCTTCCAGAGCTCAAAGAACTGTCTCTTCGTTCTCTACCAAAACTGCTGGTGCTATCTTGCCGTTCACGAGTAGAGGACTGTTTACTCAATGGGGGAGCTCCATAATTCTGTGATTTAAAATAAAAGCTATATAAAAACTAGTGGTCACAAAATTTTGACCAGTATATTCTAAAACTACATGCAAAATGTAGACAAAGTGACACGGACAACACAAACAAGCTAGGTGACAAATACAACTCATGCATACTGTACTACATGAACACACTAACTCAACACTTCAGACCAACTTGCGCTACCCAGCCGTGGTTTTGAGGAACGGTGTAACTCTTCCTGGAACATGCTTCACTTTTTCTTTCTTGTCTTTCAGGTTTACGACAACGAAGGAAGCTTGACTGTTGCTTGTCTGGACACTGTCCATAGTCCACTGATATGGTCTTCCTTAAAACTTTCTTCTTCACTGATGTTTCTCCTAGACACTCTTGTTTTTCAGCAATGTCGCTTGAAGACAAGTTTTTGTCACTCCAGTAGTCAGCATGTTCAGAACACAAATTAGGCTGCGAGCAGCAAGGTGCATCTACAGGAAAAGTTGTCTTCTTATGACGTTCACCACAGATGCCTACTGGCCGGAACAAGCTTGTATATTCTTGAATGGTTCCTTTATTAGAAGGGGTGGCAACTCTGTCAAGCTTCAGAGCAACAGGAGGTACCTTCACAGTACATGGTTCATCAATAGGAAAGGTTCCACCAAACACCAGTGGTTGTTTCTTTAATAAGGAAGCAATAGCTAAATGCAACTCTGTGTAGGAAGGCTGTTGGCAAGAGTTTACTGTGGCTGTCAAGCGCTTAGAGAATGATGTTTTAAACAGATTTCCAGAATCCTTAGTTTGATGGTTATTTAACAATTCTTTTCGTTTAAAAGTAAGTTTTTCACTCCCTGACAAATGCTGAAGTTCTACAGGTTTGTCAATGGCAAACGTTTTAGATGTCTCAATTTTTTCAATAACAGTTTTATTTTTTTTCTTCTTTTTCCTTCTGCAACCAAATCGAAACATTTTAATTCCAATCTTCTGTACCTTTCCGGAGTCTTTGTCACTAACCTGACTGGTACTTCCAGAGTTAATATCACTTAAACAATCTCTCATAAACGACTGAGAGTTGGATGAACAGGCCAAATGGCTCTTTTCTGGACTACAGTCAGAACTACTGTCTGTAATGTCCTTGACTAACCCTTTCCTTGCTAGTAATCTCTGTCTGTACAAAACAAACCGCTTTATTCTACCAACATCTGTGCCTTTTTTTTTCTGTCCTTTAGAGGTACTCATATCAAACTGAATTTTTTTCTTGCTTTGCTCATGACAGTTTTTCTTATCTGATTTCAAACATGAATTCAATAGCCTAGGCTTAGTATCCTTTTGCAGTAAAGATTGCATCTCTTCAATGTTTGCCTTGCCTGATGGACCATGATGAGGAGTGCTCTGGGTGGTAGTGGATGATCCTCCCTCACAGCTTTCAGAATCACTTTTTGGAAGTAAAGGATCCATGTCCCTGTAAGAGTCTGGTAATAAAGACTCCTGATCACTTGAATACTTAAGTTCTTTATGACTGATTGCTTTAGGTAAACCACCTTTTAGTTCATTATAAGTTATGCATCTGTTCAGATTTTGTTTCTTGAGGTAATCAGATAAATCTTGATCCTCATCAATAAAAAATTCAGGCAATTCCAGCTTCTTATCATTGATGTATTCAGGTAAGTCCTGCTTCAGATCAGTAAGGTGTGGATAATTAATATTTCTATCTTGAGAGGTACTTGTACAACCCTGCTCTTTATCATTGGAACATTTATCTATAGCTTCTCTGCAATTTGTAGAACACAATGGTAATAGCTGACTTTGTTTCCTGGAACTTGGGAAGGACTGATTCTGATCAGAGGAGAAATTATGTATTTTTGGTTTTTGATTATTAGATGACAACTGAATTTTGTGATTTGAAGTCTTTGATAAGGTGTGACCTTGGTTCACAGAAGACTCAGCCAAACAATGATCTTGATCATGAGAGGATTTGAGCACAATATTTTGCTGACCATTAAAGTACAAAAACAATCTCTCTTCCTCACTGGTTGAATGTGTTGATAAAATGTGCTTGTTAGATGTTGCTTCTTGATCTTTTAAAGATTTATGTAAAACTAGTTCTTCTGCAGCAAATGATTTACATAAAATCTGTTCCTCATTACAGGAAGAATTAGGTATCGACTGTTCACGTTCACTGGAAGATTCCCGTAAACTCTGATACTGAACACAGGAATACTTAGGAAAGACATGTTCATGATCACTGGAAGATTCTGGTAAAATCTGATCCTGATTACAAGAAGAATTAGGTATGGTTTGTTCACGTTCGCTACAAGATTCCTGTAAACTCTGATACTGATCACAGGAAGAGTTAGGAAAGACATGTTCTTGATCACTGGAAGATTCTGGTAAAATCTTATCCTGATTACAGGATGAATTAGGTATAGACTGTTCATGATCATTGGAAGATTCCACTAAAAACTGTTCCTGGACATTTAGCCAATTTTGTTTACAATCAATGGATGATTTACATAGACACTGATGGTGTTCCTCGAAGAATAAAAGATTTGAGTTTACCTGAGGAGGCGAACAAGATCTCCTCTCCTGAGTGGCAGCAAGCAGAAAGAAAACAGAGGAACGTACTGTAAGTTGTCTAATTAAGGCATCACAAAAAGGCAACAATAAAAGAGCATTTCTGCTAACAAAAATGCATTTACATGTATCAACTTATAAAGATATATATATATATATATATATATATATAGACATTTATTTTTTTAAATAAAGACTGTGTGTCTCTGTATAGAAAATACAAAAGAGC